GGTAAGGGGGTTTCGCCGTGTGAGAAATTAAGCAATTAAGCCGTCTATTTTACTACCGGAGATCCGAGTTTCAGACGTTAAGGCGCTCTTCCGATCTGGCTTGAACCTCCTCTTCCTTTTCTTCCTTTTCCTTCTACTTCTACTTCTCTACTTCTCTCTTTCTCTCTCTCTCTCTCTCTCTTTCTCTTAAGCTTTGAGCGTGAGTAAGGAACGTGGCGCGTAGGAACGTTATTAAGATATCATCGTGATGCTGAGGGAAGCGATTCTAGACATTGTGCAAGAGAAAGAGGAAGAGAGAGAGAGAGAAAGATTTAATGACAGAAGAAGGAAGATAGAAAAAAAAAAAGAAAAAAGATGAGGAAACACGGCTAAGGATATGAAGGAGTGAAAAGAAGAAGAAGAAGAAGAAGAAGATAAAAAAAAAAAAAATAGAAAGAAAACCATTGGTGAAAAGGTGAAGGGAAGGCAAAGTTCAAATCCCGAGACTTCTTCGAAGTGCCTCTGCTCCTAATTAGATCTCATTTGTATGACTCTAGCCGACCCTTGAAACGATTATTAATAACTTTTCTTCTACGAACGATATTTAACGTCTCTTTTCATTACCACGTCAAAAGAAACTAACTCTCAACGTGCTAATTATGTGAGATAGAGCAAAGCCAAATCAGACCTTGTCTTTGATTTTAGTCGGTTTACCGAAGTCTGCAAAGTTGGTTGGTGCGGTTTTCTCGTTCAGACCAAATAACCCTCCTCTTTCTCCTTCTCTTACTTTTCTCCACCCACATTCATTTCATCCTTTTCTCGGACATACCGATAACTTTTCTCCTTTACTTTTACAGTAAAACGGAGGGAAAATGGTTACGAAGAATGTTACCCTCGTATACGAACCCTTTCAAACTTCCATTCTTTCGTTCTTGTTTTCTACCAAATGTATATATATGATACTGAGGGAGGGGGTGAAGGGATTTTTCTTTTTTCGTGTTACGTAAGAAAGACCTTCGACCTTCTTACCACTATTTTTATCGATACCTTCTGTATTCCCCTTTTGTCTCTTTCCATCTTTTCTTCACTTTTCGTTCTTGTTTTATTTTTGTTATTTTTTTTTTTATTTTTTTTTTCTTCTCTCCTCTTTTTTCACTCTCCCGAACAAATACGATTTAAAATACATTTTATATTGATTTATTTAATCAAAAAAAAAAAGAGATCAACAGGTGGTCATTATAGGTGATTTTGTCGCGTTTTAAAGTGTTTATTTATAATAATACACGTTCGTGTTATTCCAATACGGAACTAGGAAAAGGGTAAAAAAATTTGTGCTCGAGTAATGGTGGGAGGATGAAGGGAGGAAAGAGTGAAAGAGTAAAAAGGGGTTTCATGATTCATCAAGACGATATAATAATATTCTTAAAAGAATTTC